GGTAGAGTGCTACCCTTGAGCAAAAGAAGCTCAGGGACAGCACCCAGGCCATGAGTTCAAGCCCTAGGACTGGCAAAAAAAATCTATGTATCTACATCTATATATCTATATCTGTCTGTCTGTCTGTCTATAGTGAATCTATAGCTAGGTACAAGTTGTGGTGCAATTGCCTGCAGTACCCGGCACCCACTGTGTAGATTTGTATCCTAGGAGCAAGAGAGTGAAGTGAACAGTGCAGGCGTGCAGTACTGTGTAAATACACGCTCTGGTGTTTGCACAAGAATCAACTTGCCGAGTGACGTGGTTCTCAAGAATATGACTGCATCTGTCAGGCACTGGTGGCACACACCTGTAATCCCAGCTACTCCAGAAAGCTGAGATCTGTAGATCATAGTTCAAAGGCAGCCTGGGCAGGAAAGGCCAATTAATTAGCAGGTGCAAAAATGGTTGTTTTATTTGCTTATTTATTTATTTAGGTCGGTTGTGGGGCTTGAACTCTGGGTCTGGGCGCTGTCCCTCAGCTCTTCAGCTCAAGGCTAGTGCTCTAGGGCTTGAGCCACAGCACCACTTCCGGTTTTCTGGTGGTTTATTGGAGATAAGAGTCTCACAGACTTTCCTGCCTGGGCTGGCTTTGAACCACAATCCTCAAATTTCAGCCTCCTGAGTAGTTTAGGATTATAGGTATGAGCTACCAGCGCCCGGCTATAGTTTTTGTTTTTAAGACAAGGTCTCACTCTGCAGTTCAAGTTGGCCTTAATCTCACGATCCTCCAGCCCTAGCCTCCCCAAGTGCTGGGATTACAGATGTGAACTACCAAGCCTGGCTGGTCATGGAATATTGGAGAGGAAAATTTGATTGTGTCCGATCTTTTATATCAACCCTCTGGTGGCTTCTTATTTCTTTTAAGGTAGAAGGAACGAAAGAAACATTTTGTTTTGCTTTGCTTTGCGGCACTGGAGCTTGAATCTAGGATTTTGTGTATGCTGGCTTAAGGGAGGAAAGGGAATCTTGGAATGTAGCTCAGTGGTAGAGTGCTTGCGTAACACGCATGAAGCCCTGGGTTCGATCCCTCAGAACCACATACACAGAAAAAGCCATAAGTGGTGCTGTGGCTCAAGTGGTAGAGTGCTAGCCTTGAGCACAGAGCGGCTTAGAGCTAGAGCCCAAGCCCTGAGTTTGAGCCCTTAGGACTGGCAAAAACCAAAACAACGACAAAAGCTGAAAGTGAGTCTGAGATCTGAGAGTTGAGGTTCAAAGCCAGCCTGGATAGGAAAGTCCATGAGATTCTTATCGGCAATTAGCCCCCAAAAAGCCAGAAGTAGAGCTGTGACTCAGGTGGTAGAGCACCAGCCTTGAGTAAAAAAGCTCAGGGACAGCATCCAGGCCCCAAGTTCAAGCCCCAGGACTGACAAAAACAAAAAACAAAAAACAACTTCTTCAGCAGATGCTACTCTACCCAACCCCACTCCCTCATACATATAACACACAGCTATTTAATGCTCCCTCATTGTTAGCTCTATGAAGAAATGGGCATGTTTGCTCTGCACACTGTCAAACCCTCATTACATATTGCTTGTTGATTCTTCCATTAGCAGAACGTTTATTAACCGGCAGCTATGTCAAACATTGGAGATACAGGGGCGAACAAGATGGACAAGATTGCTAAGTTTTTGAGAGGTTCCAACAAGTAATAAGAATTTCAGCCAGGTGTGGTGGCTTGCGCCTGTAATCCCAGCTACTTGGAAGATTGAGAACAGACTTCTGAGACCAAAAAGAAAAAAAGAAAAAAAAATCCTAGATACTCTATTTCAATAGAAGAAGCTGAGTATGATGGTACATGCCTGTCAACCCAACTACAAGTAAGAAGCCTAAAAACAAGGAGGATCACATCCAGGTGTTTGCTTGGGCAGAAAGTGAGATCTTATCTAAAAATATCCACTGCAAACCCAGCGCTGGTGGCTCACACCTCTAATCCTAGCAATTCAGAGGCTGAGATCTGAAGATCTCAGTTCAAAGCCTGCCTTGGCAGGAAAGGCTGCAAGATTCTTGTCTCCAATAAACCACCAGAAAAACCAGAAGTGGCACTGTGGCTCAAAGTGGTAGAGTGCTAGCCTTGAATAAGTCCCAAATTCAAACCGCACAACTGACCCCTCCCCCCTTCCAAAAAAAATGTCTAATGCAAAACAGGACTGGAGCTGTGGCTCAGCAGTAGCTCTCCAACCTAGAAAGGTCAAGGGTTCAAATCTATTACTACAAAAAAAAGTAGATAAAAAGAGGAATTTCAGCCCCAAAGAAGAATGAAATTACATCACTTACAAGGAAATGAGCAAAACCGCCCATCTTCAGAAGGTCAAAGGTGAAGCGTTTTTTCTCTATGTGGAATCTGTCTCCCTTTTTCCTATCTATCTGCCTGTCTCTCTGTCTCTGTCTTTTTCTCTCTGTCTCTGTCTCTGTCTGTGTATATGACTAGAATGGAAGGACTGCCTCATGGGAAGAGAAATAGGGGAGAAGAAAAGGAAAGAAAGTAAATAATACCAAGATACTTGGTGCCTATGTATGCAGATGGCACACACTAAATCACTGAAAGCTGTTAAAAAGAAGAGGGGGGCTGGGAAGGTGGCTCAGTGGTAGAGCACTTGCCTTGCATGCATGAGGCCCTGGGTTCGATTCCTCAGCACCACATAGGCAGAAAAAGCCGGAAGTGGGGCTGATACTTAAGTGGTAAAGTACTAACCTTCAGCTGAAGATCTGAGGGACAGTGCCCAGGCCCAGAGTTCAGGCCCCACGACCGACCAAAAAAAAAAAAAAAAAGAAGAGGAAAGCCCAGGGTCTGTGGTTCATCCCTGTAACCCTTAGCTGAGATCTGAGAATCCTGGTTTGAAGCCAGCCTAGACAGAAGAGTTCACTGAGACTCTTATCTCCAATTAACCATCAAACAGCCAGAACTGGAACTGTAGTTCAAATGGCAGAGCGCCAGCCTTGAGTGAAAAAGCCAAGTAAGAGTGCAAAGCCTTCGTGTCTACACGCGCACACCGCACTTCTAGGCAGTTCTCAATCACTAAATTGAGATCTGAGGATTTTTCCACTGATCTCCAAAAAATGACTTAGCAAAAGCCAAAAGTGGAGTGGTGGCTCATGTGGTAGAGTGCTAGCCTTGAGGGAAAAATAGCTCAGGGACAGTGCCCAGGCCCTGAGTTCAAGCCCTTGGACTGGAAGAAGAGGAAGAAGAGGAGGAGGAGGGGGAGGAGGAGGAGGAGGGAGGAGAAGGAAAAAGAGGAGGAGGAGAAGAAAGAGGAGTAGGAAGAGAAGGAGGAGGGGGAGGAGGGGGAGGAGGAAGGAGGAGGAGGGAGGAGGGAGGAGGAGGAAAAAGAGGAGGAGGAGAAGAAAGAGGAGAAGAAAGAGGAGGAGGAGAAGGAGGAAGAGGAGGAGGAGGAGGAAGGAGGCTGGGGGTAGCAACAGCAGCTCAGAGTCAGAACCGAAGCGCTGAGTTCAAGCCTCAGGACTGGGACACAGACAGACAGACAGAGAGATAGACAGACAGACAGACAGACAGACAGACAGACAGACACACACACACACACACACACACACACACACGAGGCATCTCCACGTGTGGGTGTCCCCAGCCCGCTGCTGCTTCTTTTTATTTTTTATTTTTGCTTTTGAGGAACGCTGGAGTGTTTCCAATCTTCTGTTTAAACCACAGGGCTCAGGGGCCCGGGGTGGGAGCAGAGGGAGTAGAACGGTGGGGGGGGGGGGGGAGCTGGGAGATGGAGAGGGGGCGCGAGGGTACCCCACTGCTGGGAGGGGGCGCACGGGGAGGGGGTGTTGGTGGGGGGGGAGGACAGGGGTCTGGGAGAAGGCAGGGAGCCGTCCTTGTCTGGGCTGCAAAACTCCAGGGTCTGTCAAGAAATAAAAGGTACAGATGAAGAACATTTCAAGGCGAGATTTCAGCCGAGTCTGTCGGACCCTGCAACCCCACAGCAGACCAAAAAACCAAACCAAACACAAACAAAGGGCAAAGGGGTTAATGTTTATTGTGTCAGTGGCCGCCCCGTGGGCGCTGAGATCTTAGTCTTCGGGTTGTTTGTTTGGCCACGGGGATGGCGGCGCCCCCAAACTCTGAGATCAGAGTCTCCAGGTGGTTTTTTTTTTTGGGGGGGGGGGTCTCTTGGATCTGGGACAACTCTCCCCCCAGGGTCTGCGATCTTAGTCTTGGAGTGTTTTAGGGTCGGGGATCTGAGGCTCCCCGAGGGTCTGAGATCTTAGTCTCGGCGTGCTTTTTTTTTGGGGGGGGGTTGGGGATCTGGGCGCCCCAGGCTCTGAGATCTGAGTCGCCCTGTTTGTCTTGGGGCGGGGATCCGGGGCGCCCTCTTGGCCCGGGAGTGCCTGGGCCTAAGGCACCGGGAGGCGGGAGGGGCGTGGCGGAAGGAAGCCACGCCCACATACAAACCACGCCCTCGCCACCACGCCCCCGGCGCCGCTTTCCCACTCCCCCCCCTCCACTCCCCTCCCGGGGCCTCCCGGGGTTCAGTCCCTTCCCAGGCCGGGTCCGCGCCGCGTTTTCCCGGTCCCGCGCGGGGCCCAGCTGACGGCCGCGTTGTTTACGGCCGAGCCGCGCTCGCTCCGCCGCCCGCCGCCCGCGCCGCCCTCGGTCCCGGGGTCCACGAGCGGCCTTGGAAGCGCGCGGGGCCAGCCACGAGTCGGGAAGCCCCGGGGCGCGCGGCACCCGAGCTTCGGGCCTCGAGATCGCGGGGCGGGAGGGGGGGGGCCTGGACCGCCGGAGTTTGGTGGGGATCGGAGGGCGAGGGGGGGGCACCACCAGCCCCCCTCGTTTTTCTTCGGGCCGCGCCGCTCCTGTGATCATTTTGTTTTCATTTCACTTTGGTTTTGGGGGCGCCTTCCAGGCCGCGCGCCCTTCCCGGGGTTCCCCCATCCCCAGGGCCATCCCCGTGTGGTTATTTATTATTATTTTTTTGGAGGGGTGGGGTGGGGGGGTGGGCTGCACCCGGAAAGCGTCTGTCGGCCGCTGGGCTCGGAGCATGATCCCCGCGGGCGGGCGCCGCGCGCTCTGATCGTCGGGGACCCCCCGCCCCGCGCCATGGACCCCGGGGGTCGGCGGGGGGCGTCGGCCGCGCCGCCGCCGCCGCCGCTGCTGTTCCTGCTGCTGCTGCTGACCGGGGCCGCGCTGTTGGCGGGCGCCGCGGGCCACCTGTACCCCGGAGAGGGTGAGTCGGGTCGGGTCGAGGGTGGGGGGAAGCGCCGGGGAGGTTGGGGAGGGGATCCCCCCTCTCCAGACACAATAGAGCCCCCGATCAAGGACGGAGACCCTCCTACTTTTCCTTTCTCTCCTTCGGGGAGAGAGGGGCGTCGTGGGGGGGGCGCACAGCCTCCCTCCCCATGGGCGCAGGGCTCCTCCAACGGGAACGGGAGGAGGAGTGGGGGGGGGGAGCCGCTGACCTTGGCCTTTGCCCGCCCCGGGGCTCGTCGCTCTGCGCCCCGCGTGCCCGACCCGGACCCGGGGAACCTTGCCCCAGTGCCCGCCCTGCGGGCCCGCGCGCGCGCGCGTTCCCAGCGCACCCCGCTCCTGGGTTTGGTTTTCTTCGGGGTAGGGGGGCTTCGCTCCCATGCACCCCTCTCCCTCGGAGGGGGGTCCCCCTGGGTCACTGAGTGGGGTCAGCCAAGTGCCCAAGGGCTGAAGCGAAAAGTCCACGGGGTAGGGGCTGGGGGTTCCCACGGCCATATGAGTAGTGGAGATCCCCCGCTAGCCTGGCCTTCCATCTAGGCGGGTGGTCACTTCTGAGTCTCTATGCCGAGGTCCACGAGGCAAACTTTTACACTGTTGGTAGGGGACAAAGGTAGTGACTGGTTTTCATGAGGATTATAACCAGGATTGGGCCCCGTGCTCACGTCTGTAATCCCAGCGATGCTTGCGATTGAGAGTTGAGGATTGTGGTTCAAAGCCAGCCCAGCCAAGGGAAAGTGCCTGAGACCCTTACCTCTAACGACCAATAAAAGCTGTGGAAGAAGTGGAGCTGTGGCTCATGTGGGAGAACATCAGCCTTGAGAAAAAAAAAAAAAAAGCTCAGGGACAGTGCCCGGGCCCCGAGTTCAAGCCCCAGGACGGGCACACACAACACACACAAATATTATTACAATCAGGTTGAAATGAGGCCATCGGGATAGGGTCACTCAGCCATTTAGCAAAGGAATAAACTGAGGCACAGGCAGGACACGGAATTCACTTTCTCTGGAGAGACGGAGGACTGGAACCTGTGTCTGGTTTCTGTAGGAGGCTGCAAACTGACCAACCTCTTGTCTGATGACTCCTAGGCCCTCTTGCTCCTCTGCCCTGTCTTTCAGGGAGACCTTGTGACCTTAATTTCTCAGATATTCTGGTCCTGACATCTCCATCCCAACATCCTCTTGGGATTGGCTATCTGTGGACAAAGATGGAAAGATCTTTTAAGTATATATAGCTATATCTATTTAAATATATATATACCTATATTTAAGTATATATGTGTATATATGTGTACACACACACACACACACACACATACATACATACATACATATATACATACGGGGCTGGAGGCGTGGCTAAGATACCGCTCCAGCAACCTGGAAGTCCTGACTTCAAAACCCAGTACAGCTGTGGTTCACTCCTGTAATCCTAAACTACTCCAGGAGCTTGAGATCTGAACATCTGGACTGGAAAGTCTGTAAGAACTCTTATCTCTAATTGACCTCCAAAAAGCTGAAAGGGGAGCTGTGGCTCAAGTGGTAGAGTGCCAGTTTTGATGAAAAAAGCTTAAAGGACCAGTGCTTTAGGCGGTGAGTTCAAACCTCAGGAACTGGCACAGAACAAAACAACAACAACCACAAAAAAACCCCATAGGGCTCTCCCTCCCTCCCTCCCCCCCCAAAAAAAGTTTGTAACAAATAATGTATAGCTTGGGGTTCTCACTGTGGGAGTCTGAAGTTCTGCATTAGGAATATACCTGTTGAGTTTCTGCTTCAGTTTCTGCTTTTTCTAGAAATATGGCATGGAGGAGGGGGGGGGGGGCGGTATATCCAGGAAGGAAGCAATGAACCAAACTGAGTTTATTGTCTGATATTTGTAATCCCTGGGGGAGTTGGTATACAGTAGGTGCTTAATGAAGGGTGACTTCTTCTTAAGCAAATTCAGGATGAGTTGTGAGACCTATATCAGGCTTTGTGCATGCTCTTCTTGTAGCTTTTTTTTTCTTTTTCTTAGTGCTGGTACTGGGACATGAACTCAGGGCCTGGGTGCTGTCCCTTTGCTTTTCTTTTCTTTTGGTCCGTTGTGGGGTTTGAACTCTGGCCTGGGCGCTGTCCCTCAGCTCTTCAGCTCAAGGCTTGTGCTCTACCACTTGAGCCATAGTGCTACTTCTGGTTTTCTGGTGGTTTATTGGAGGTAAGAGTCTCACAGACTTTCCTGCCCAGGCTGGCTTTGAACTGTGATCCTCAGATCTCAGCCTCCTGAGTAGCTAGGATTACAGGTGTGAGCCACCGGTGCCCAGCTTTCCCTGTGCTTTTCTGGTCAAGGCTACTGCTCTACCACTTGGAGCCACAGCTCCACTTCCTGTTTTTAGGTGATTCTTTGGCAGTAAGAGTCTCATGGACTTCCTGCTGAGGCTGGCTTCCAACTGTGATCCTCACATCTCAGCCTCCTCCATAAATTGCTAGAATGACAAGCGTGAGCCACAATCACCTGGCTGCCTTGTTGCTTTGGTAATTTACCAGGTATGTGCCTGGGCTTTCTGGGATCAGTGAATGGATTTACCAAGTCTTTGAAAGTTTATATTTTCCACAAGAACATAGTAGAGCCATTTGAGTATATGGGGGACTGGGGCTTGAACTTAGGACCTGGGCTCTGTCCTTGAGCTTTTGTGCTCCAATCTATCCCTCTACCATTTGAGCCATAGCACCACTTTTATTTATTCATTTATTTTTTGGTGGTGGTTAATTGGATATCAGAGTCTCATAGCCTTTCCTGTCCAGACTGGGTTTGAACCGGGATCCTCAGATCTCAAATTCCTGAGTAGCTAGGATAACGGGTGCCCTGGTTGGCTTTAGTTATTTTTGAGAAAGGGTTTTGAGGTTTTGCCTGGGCAGCATAGTCCTGCACATAGCTGGGATGCACAGGTGTGTGCTACCATGCAATTAATTGGTTGAGATGGGGTCTCACTCATGTTTTGGCCTGGGCTGGCCTTAAGCCACAATCCTATCCAGTCTCGACCTCCCAAGTGACTGAGATTACAGGTATGCACTACCATGCCGGGCCCTGAACCAAGATTTACTTCTTTCTTTTCCTTCCTTCTTTCTTTCTTCCTTCCTTCCTTCCTTCCTTCCTTCCTTCCTTCCTTCCTTCCTTCCTTCCTTCCTTCCTCAGCTGATTGGTGATGGCACGTGCCTAACGGCTAGTGTGGCCCCTGGTAGAGAAGTTTCTGTTGTTTTCGGGGCCGAGTTGGTGGGTTTCAAAAGTGATGGAATTAAATAACAGTGATTTTCTGCCCTTCCCTCCCCTCCCCCATACCTTGTGCAAGCTTGGATTTTATTGATTTAAACAGTCACGTTGGCTCAGAGTGGGAACTCTGATGTTAGCTGCCTCTGGAACTCAAGAAGAAAGCGGGATTTTATCTTTTCTCAAGACCCTTTGTGTTAAGTCACTAAGGACACATTTGGAGTGGTGTGTTTTTCAGTTTTGAGATTGGATTAGATGTATGAGGTGTGTGTGTGTGTGTGTGTGTGTGTGTGTGTGTGTATGTGTGTGTATGTGTGTTTTAAAAGGACAAGAAATACATTCACATTGCAGAGTCTATGTCTCTTACCTAGAACTGGCCATTCATCCATTCCGTTCATCTACCTGTCATCCATTATCCATCTACCTGTTTGTTCTTTTCCTGTTACTTGTCCCCATCCAGCCATCAATCTATTTGTCTGTCTGTCCATCTATTCACTTCTGCTTTTTGTTGGTTAATTGGAGATAAGAGTCTCTCTGGATTTTTTCTTTTCTTTTTTGGTCAGTCATGGGGCTTGAACTCTGGGCTTGGGCGCTGCCCCTGCACTCTTCAGCTGAAGGCGAGCCCTCTACCTCTTGAGACACAGCACCACTTCCAGTTTTTCTAGTGGTTTGTTGGAGATAAGAGTCTCATGGACTTTCCTGTCCAGGCTGGCTCTGAACTGCGATCCTCAGATCTCAGTCTCCTAAGGAGCTAGGATTACAGGCGAGAGCCAGTGGTGCTTAGTTGTTGATAGGTTTTGGGGTGCGTGCACGTTTCATTTCTCTTGCTTCAGTACTAGGAGTAAGATTTCTGGGTCACATGCCTAGTGTATGTTTAACTAAGAAACTTCATTTGTTTTCCTAAATGACTAACGTTTTTTGCATTCCTATCAGCATGGAAAAGGTTGGTCTTCCCTCTCCTTTCCCTGCATTACTTTGTTGTTTGTGTATTCTGGGGCTCGAACTCAGGGCCTGGGCACTGTCCCTTAGCTTTTTCACTCAAGGATGATGCTCTGTCACTTGAGCTACAGCTATGCTTTGGACTTTTTGCTGGTTAACTGGAGATAAGAGTCTCATGGACTTTCCTGCCTAGGCGGGCTTCCACCCCTGATCCTCAGTTTCCTGAGTAGCTAGGATTACAGCTGTGAGCTGCTGGCACCTGGCTTAACATGGCTTTCTTGTTACAATATGAAATGCTCCTACTTATTTTCTGGTTCATCTCTCCTGATAAAGCTGAGATAAATAGAATTTGCATGTCTTTTCTGGTCTTTTTTTGATCAGTTTTGGAGCTTGAACTCAGGGCCTGGGCGCTGTCCCTGAGTCTCTTTTGTGCGCAAGGCTAGCACTCTACCTCTTGAACCACAGCACCACTCTCGTTTTTGAGTGGTTAATTGGAGATACTAGCCTCATGGGGACTTTTCTGTCTGGGCTGCCATCGAACTGTGATCCTCAGATTTCAGCCTCCCGAGTACCTAGGATAACAGGTGTGAACCATTAATGCCTAGTTCTCTTCTGTTGTTTTTTTTTTTTTAAATAAAGCCCTCTCCCCACCTCCTTTTTCATGCCCTATGATTTGAATTCAGGGCCCTAGCACTGGCTAGGCAGGTGCTGTACCACTTGAGCCATATCCTCAGTTCTTTTTCCTGTAGTTCTTTTTCCAATAAGTTTTCATTTCTTGCCTAGGCTCGTCTGGAATGT